GCGTCTACATACGTGTGTGCGTGTGTGTGTATGCTTGTTAGTGCATGTGTGTGCGTGTGTACGTAGTGCATGTATTTTTGTTGTGTGTGTGTGTGTGTGTGTGTGCATGTGCGTGTGCGTGTATGTATGTGTGTGTGTGTCTATGAATATGTTGTCTGTATGCAACATAAAGAATGATAAATGTTTCTTATCGTGTTTCCTGGAATAAAATTATATTTCCTGTTTGCTTTCCATTAGCAACTGTGAATTGAATTTTTTTTTTTGTTTAGTGCAAAACGAATGGAGCAAAAAAAAAGAAAATTACATTTGAAATAATATAGTTTCAATTTAAATTTAAATTTTCAATTTCCAATTTTGTTTTTTTTCAATTTTCTTTTGTATTGCAATATGTTTCTTATTGGTTATTTTAAAAATTTAGTACTAAGTTTGAAATAATTTTAATTTAAAAAAAGATCGATTAAATTAAAAAAAAAAGAATTTTGAAATAAAATACACTGATTGTCAAGTAATTATCTGCTAGTAAATCAGATGATATACACAATGTTTAAAGATTAAATGTAATGAACAAAGGTCAAAAGGTGAGATTATTTAGATGATATTTTGTTGCTGATATTCTCTTTTAATGTTACTTGCATAAAATCTAGCTAATACAAAGTAAATCAATAGCTGAACATTTATTTGAAGTATTACATTACTTGAACTTGAGAAGGATACTTAGGAGGATATCAAATTGAGATTGTACTTCAATAAGTTAAAAGAAGCCAGAAAGATTAATCTTTTATCAAACAGTTGTCAATTCGATTAAATGAATAGCAATTTTTGATGTATAAAATTTAAAGATTGATGAAATGAACGAAGGTTAAAGGTTATAAATGATAAATATCAATTCAGGGATGAAGCGATTAATTTACAAATAATTAAAATAGTGTAACAAAAAAAAAAATATATGTATATATACCGTATTTGAAAATAAAATTATTGATTAACTTTTAAGAAAGGATTTTTGTAGTCTAATGGAATACTACAGCTGTTGTAGGTCATTTATCGGGAAGTAGGGACAAGTACGAAGGTCATCATTTCGAGGTTTTATTATATTATATTATAGGGAAGTTGTTCAGTTTATGCCAATTGTGTCTTTCCGTACCAACTCATACGTCTAAATGAGGTATGATTGAAAAATTGATAATTTTTTTTGAAATTAAATTAAAATGAACAATAACGAGAATAATGGTTGCTTGCATTGATTTGCCACCTTATTAGAGTTCTTTGAAAAAAAAAAAAAAATTATCGTAAGAATAAATCGAGGGGAAAAAAAAGTACAAAGGAATGATTTCGAAATAAAAAAATTTAGAAATTATTTTTTGAACTAAAATTGCAACAATAATTATTATGATATTAATAGTAGCGATAGTGATAAGGATGATAATAACGATAAAGATAAAGTAATAGCAAACAATGTTAATGACAATTATAATGTTGATGATGATGATGATGATGGAAATGATGTTAGTTACCGTTTCATACATATCTATTAATGCTTATGGCATTATTGATCTTTCACATTTTGCCGTGATAGAGAAATGAACTAAATAATGTATAAAAGACATTCCAAGTTCGATAATAACTAAGAAGCCTTAGATTACTTGCGCAATTGTCTACCCTCATCAATGCGCTATTTGCGCACATAATAACTAAGAAGCCTTAGATCACTTGCGCAATTGTCTACCCTTATCAATGCGCTATTTGCACACCAGATTTCAGTAAATATCTCATGAATGAGGTATGGAGGAAAGAAACGGAGGACAAATAAGAAGAAGCAAATGAATAAGTATTTTAGTTTACAAACGGGATACATCCGCCTTCTCTAAGTAGCAGGATGATGATGTCCTTAGTGCTAGGAACCACCTCGACCCTGTTAATGATCAGTATCATGAGTACACGTGACCTATCTTATAGTTTGTACGGAATTGATGACAGATAATGTGCCATCATTTTTCACTTGACAATTGCCGTTTCGCAATAATTTAAAATAAAAAAAAAAAAAAAAAGAAAAGAGGAAGAATGAATTTGAAAAAAAAAAAATGTACTAATAAACTTAAGAAAGTGATGAATGGCATGAAATTTCAGTGATATTTAATTAATAATTTTGAATAGTACCTATTTTCAACTTTCTTCGTTTCACAGCATAAATAGTAAATGAAGAATTAATTATTGAGTGATTTAAGTATTTGCTTAAAATTAATTAATTATTAACTGATTCAAGTGTTTGCTTAAAATTAATTAATTATTATTGATTTAAGTATTTGTTTAAAATAAAGTTAATTATTACTAATTTAACTATTTACATAAGATTTTTGTTTTAGAGAACAGAAATTTTATTATTTATTATGTTAACATATGCATGTTATTGCCATATTACCAAGAATAAAACGAATCGGGAAAATTTTGCATAATTACTTGAGAAATTTGCATAATTACTATTATTTATTGTTTAATTAAAATGAAATAACTTTTTTCTCCTGTTTTTTAATGAATGATTTATTGCACCTTTCTTAACGAAATGAATAATTTGTATTTTATATTTCAATGATTGAAATAATAATTTCCGGGAAATAATTCGACCTATCGATTTTTTCTTCTTTTCTTCTGGAAAAATATTTCTAGGACATCAATTGTCATATATCATAAACAGAAGAGAAGACGGAATATATTATTGTTTGTCATCGATGTAATTGCTGGATTATAAATTATCAAATTAATAAGCATTAGTTTGTCGCGTTATCTGTCACATCGATAAGAGAGACCTCGAACGGCGAAGAAATTGGAGGTGAAAATAATAGGGAAGGAAATATTTCGTAAACAGAAAGAAAGGTGATCTATTCCTTTTACAATTAAATTTTATTTTCAATGTTATAATCACGTTCATTACGATCAATATATCCGGTTATTTTATCAATATATCCGGTTATTTTATCAATATATCCGGTTATTTTATCAATATATCCGGTTGTATTTGCCGAAGTAAATTTTTTTTTCTGATAATATTACTATTTTTATACAAATAATAATCATGTATTAGCTTTTTCGTTATCATTGACTGCAATGATTTATCGTATTGGAATTTCTTTTTCCTGTAAAAGCTAAAAGATATGATAACAAGACTATCAGATATCTTATCAGTGACAAAATATAATAGGGAGTGATATATATGAGCCAAATTTTATGAAAGTTTTAAAATAGTTGAAAGATGAGCTCTTAAAATGTGTCGATATCAAAGTATACTTTCAATTTATTAATCGTCTTTTTCTCTCTCTCTTCAAATTTGTTTATTTCTTTAAAATTTTTACTATTATTAACTGGACAATTCTTAGATAGTAAAGAAAGGGAAATGAAAAAAGAAAAAAGAAAATTGCAATAAATCTGTGAAAACAAAAGTGATCATTTCAACCGCACATTTCATCATTTTGGTTGTCATCATTCTTTGAGCATTTATTGTCGCCAAAACTGTCACCGAATTCTCTTATCGCTTTCGAAAAGAAAAAAAAAAAAGAAAAAATTTGTAAAATGAGCCGATGATAATTTTTATTAATGAGACGAACTTTTTTTTCGTTTCTTTTATTTCTTCACTTTTAATTTTCTTTTTTGTAGTTTTACGAGAGAAAGGATGAAACTTTTTCAGTTCCTTTATATACCCTTTTATTATCTATTTGAAAAAAAGGTAATGATAATAAATTCAAGGTTATCTGTTTTAAAAATATTTTACCATAACTGTTATACACAATTATAATTACATTAATATTTCTAATTTGATAAATTTTTTGTTAAACCTAAATTAAATGATATTATCAATAGTATTTAATACTATTACATAACTTTTCTCTGTAATAATTTTACATTATCTGAAATTATACAAAATTTCATCTCTACAGATGATTAATAACAATTGATAATATCATAGGTCAAAAGAGGTCATTTCTATTTTGTTAAATGATTAATGAGTAGTTTTATTAATATAAGTAAAGTACATATTGCATCAAAAATAAATGATTTCGTTCCATTTTTCTTTATCCCGACGAATTTTCTGGAATGATAATATTAGGAAGTATACTATTGCATTTGTATACTTTGAACCAGTATTCAAAGAAAAACAATTGATGAAAAATTAGGAAAAAGAAGGTTCGGATGGAATAGAATTTTCAATAAATGTGAAAGGCAGTGAGATATCGTTTTCAGCTTCGATCTTGCAAAAAAATAAAAAAAAAAGAAAATTGTCAGATTGTTTTGCACATTTAGATTGATAGCTTTATCATAACTCATAGCACGAAACCATCAATTTTTAAAAAATGTGCAAAAGCTTGAACTGACTTTTTTTTTTTTTGATAAAATCCACAAAAAAGAC